CTGGATGACTCACACACACACATACACACACACACACACACACACACACACACACACACACACACACACACACACACACACACTCATCCTCCTCTCATCTCATTATCTTCATTACATCCCTCTCTCTCTCTCTCTCTCTCTCACTCCACCCGCCCACCACATCCTGAGGTTGACATCAAACGCCACTAAAGTAGACCCCTCGATTAGAGACGCCGTGGAGACGATCCCGCCGCCGACCTCTGAAACCACAAACACTCTGTAACCCACGGCTCATTAAACAAAACTGACATCCTCACACCGACGACTGAGTGTGTGTCTGTGTGTGTGAGTGAGAGTGTGAGTGTGTGTTTACACCTTCATTAGTGAGGCTCCTCTCTCCCTCTCTCTCTCTCCCTCTCTCTCTCCCTCTGAATACTGAGATCATTTAAACATCATTACTCTTCACTGACAGGAGAGCAGGTGTGCTTGGGGGCGGGGCTACCTGTGATTGACATGTTTGGGCTTTTTAACAGGATCCGTTTGAAGACAGTGATTTATATAAAGGAATGAAAAAGGGGCGGAGACTTCATTGTTAGGGCCTCTGATTGGTCCATGAATCCTGTTTTCAGGAACCGGAGATCCGGGTTCAGGACTAAGAGTGAGTGTGTACACGTCTGCTGAATACACACCTGCTGTGTGTGTGTGTGTGTGTGTGTGTTTGTCACATGACGACAATGACACAAGGCTGTGGAGACGCCACCTGTGAGCTGATTAACATGCAACACACACACACACACACACACACGCACGGGAAACTGCTGAGTCAGGTGGTACTGAGTCTGATGAAAGCAAAGTGGTTCGAGCGCACAGATGGTCATAGACACACACACACACACAAACACACACACACACACACACACTCACAGACTGGCACACAGATATTTTCAGATAGATGTCGCCACACAGCGTCACATGATCTGTGATGATGATGATGACAAAGAAGAAAAGATGACGATGAAGGTGTATGATGATGATATGCATCAGTCAGTGTGTGTGTGTGTGTGTTTGTGTGTGTTTGTGTGTCTGTGTGTGTGTGTGTGTGTCTGTTTGTGTGTAAGGACAGAACATCAGATTCAGTGAGATTCATTCCTCAGTGAATAATGACCAGAGCGGCCTACACACAATCTGACTCTGTGTGAGTGTGTGTGTGTGAGTGTGTGTTTGTGTGTGTCCTATATGCACCATTCTTGTAATGTAACACACACACAAATGTGCTGCAAGAAGTAAAAAAAACATGAAGATAAAAACGAACAAAAACATGTTTTTCTGAGGAGGAGGATGATGAAGATGATGAAGATGATGAAGATGATGAAGATGATGAAGATGATGAGGTACTGATACTGATTTAATGACGTTAATAACAAATATGATGATGCTGAAGATGATGAGGATGGGGATGATCATAACTATGGTGATGATGATGATGATGGTGAAGATGATGATGAAGAGGAGGAGGAGGATGATGAGGGGGTCTGGTGGTACCCTCAGATCCTGATAGGATGACTCTTACAGCTGAAACCCGTTCATGTGGTTCTCAGCTCGTCTTCACTCCGACCCATTAATCCCTAATATGAGTCCACCTCTACAAACAGAACCAGAACCAGGCTGACAGGACCGTAACCATGACGACAGCAGGTCCGTCGATCTGAAACGAAGTCGAAAAAGGACGTCAAACTGAAACAGACAGGAAAAATATCGAGTCTGAAGGAGTTTACAGTTTGATCCAGCAGGGGGAGCTCTCATCGTAACCTAACCACTCTATGTCCATTAGTGTGTTTACATGAAACTCGAAAAAAACTGAATTATCGCCTTATTCCGATTAAGACCGGACAACTGAAGGTCATGTAAACACCTTAGTCCGACTATAATCAGAGTCGGAGAACTCCGAACTCTGAGGGACGAAGTTTAAAAGACATTTAAGGGTTAAAATGATCGGAAATAAAACTGATTTTTATGGTTTTCAGATGATTTCAAACCAACGATGTCCAACAGGTTAGTCACATGACTCTGGAGTGGGAATCAACGCATGGAAAGGACAACTGGACTTAGTTGAGACGTGGCCTAAGGCGAAACGTCTCAACTAAGTCCAGTTGTCCTTTCAACAAAGAATTAGAAATCATTCAGTCCGTTTCCATGACACTGGAGAAAACCGAATTATCGCCTTATTCCGATTAAGACCAGAACGACTTTAATCAGATGTGAGTCAAAAACCTCCGTCACAGTCAGAGATGGCGTGTTTCCTCCAGTGAAGATCCAGATCAGACGGCGGCGGCGGCAGACTTTCCAACTCCGCCGTTTGTCCCTGAAGGCAGCAGAGCCGAGGTCTTCACAGGACAAATCCCAGAGACGCTCGACAGCAGGCCGAGGCTCCCGCTAACATCCAAGGAGCGTGTGCAGAGTCGCCGCCAAAGGAGCGTGTCGGGATTAGTCCTGTGTTGATGATGTCATTAGGCGGCTCTGG